TACATGTTAATTGGTGTAACGGTTGTTGAATAAACGTAATTTAAATGATTGCCATTTTTTTTGCACACCACTGTAATACGCATTGTCACACAAAACCAAAATTAATTTTTCTTCGATAACGTAATGTCGTCGTCGTCGTCGTCTTCGTCGTCTTTAGGTAACAAATAATAAATAATTTTATAAATAAATAATAATATAAATAATTATAATAATATGAATAATGATATTATAATAATAATATGAATAATAATAATAATTATTATATATAAATAATAATAGGTTCTTCTCGTTCTAAAACTAAAATAAATTCTGGAATAAATGGATATCTTATTTTATATAATTCTATTTCGTGTGTTGGATGGAGTTACGTTCTTGGCTTAAGTTTATTAGAGTTAGTAAAGAATAATGGAAATTATACAATTGTACATGATAAGGTTGGATGGATATTGACAATTGTACAAACTGGAGCTATTTTAGAGGTATTTCATGTAATCATTGGTATGTGATAAAAAGAATTGAGCATTGCGTTCTACATTCATTTTATCAATTTCTATAATTAATTAATGAAATGAATTTTTTTTTAATTTTTTATTTTTCAAAGGATTCGTGAAATCACCTCTTATGACAACCGCCTTTCAAGTTTCTTCTCGACTCTTTATAGTGTGGCTTATACTTAACATTTTTACCCAGGTAACAAATATATATATATATATTTCTCTAACTATTTATCCTTTTTATTTTTATTTTAAAAAATGTCAATATATTTAATATATTTTATATTCTTATAGGTACATTCACATTGGGCATTTACCACTATGACAATTGCGTGGTGTATTACTGAATGTCTTAGATATTCGTATTATGTATTTAATCTTGTTGGAAAACAACCTGGATGGTTGTTATGGTGCAGGTTTAGTATTTAATATAATTGTTATTATAATTTATTATTTTATTTGTGATAATTTATTATTTGATATATATATATATATATTATATTATATAATTTTTTAGATATACATTTTTCTATATTCTTTATCCTCTTGGCGCAGGAAGTGAAGCAATGTTAATTTATCAATCACTTCCTTACTCTAAACAACTCAGTAGTACTTATTATTGGTTTGAAGTTGTGATTCTCATTACTTATATTCCTGGTAAGACAAAAATAATTTAATTAATTAATTAATTAATAATAATTTTAATAATAATAATAATTTTTAATAATTTATATAGGATTTTTTGTGATGTATACTCATATGATTAGTCAACGTAGAAAATATTTGGGTGGAAGTAAAGGCAAAGGAAAATCAAAGAAAAATGAATGAATGATAAATTAATTAAATTAATTAAATTAATTAATTTAATAATTTATTACTATTATTATTAAAATAAATATAAATTTTGTGTGTACACGTGCACATTGACCGTGTAATATAAAAGTTTATTACTTTTTCATTCTATAACATGATAATATTTCTAATAAATAAATTACTAAATGGATAAATAAAATAAAAAAAAAATAATTAATTATTATTTAACAAAGGTAAAAGAATTTTATTCCAATTTGTATCCCATCGTTCTTTTTGAAATTCGGCTACATGTTTTCTCATTGATTCAAGTTTTGATAAATTGGTTGGATAATTAGTAAATAAATCCTGTAAATTAATTAATAATTAATTATTTTAATTACTTAAAATAAATAAATAATTAATAATTAATAATAAATTACTTACAATTAATTGTTGTGACAATTGTTCTTCATTTTTAAATATTAATCCATTTTTATTATGTTTTATTAATTCATCGAGACAATTAAATCCAATAGCAAGAACGGGTAAACCACATCCAAACATATCAACTACTTTCATTGGTAAATCCATTCCTGAAGATGATGTATGAAGACAAATTCCTAAATCTGCTGAACCTATAAAATATAATAATAATAATAAATATAATAATATAAATATGATTATTACAATTAATTAATATTAAATAATATAAAATAATAATATAAAATAATAATATAAAATAATAATATAAATAATAATATTATTATAATTAAATAATTACCTAATAATAAAGGATAATCTTCAGCAATCAACCAAGTAGTAATAATCTTCACATTCTTGGTAGTCATCTTACTAATATCTTTTATATATTTATCTTTTAAAGGACCATTACCCGTGATAACGAAAAGTAATTTAGGAAATGATTTATTATTATTTTCAACATATTGATCATATATTTTAATAGCTTTTAATAATATTGAAAAATCTTCATCAGCTGTCCAACTAGTACTACTAACTATTAATATTGGTCGATTTGTTCGATATTTGGCTGATGAAGTTGATGATGATTTTGTGGTTAATAATGTTGAAGAAGAATTTGTTGTTGATGTTGTTGGTGATGGAAGGAAATTGGAATCAAGTGTTTGTTCCGTTACTAATTTCTCTAAATTTACTCGTGTTAAAAACTATTGAAATTAATTAAATTAATTAAAATCAAAAATTAATTAAAGTTAAAGAAAAGTTAAAAATAAATAAATTAAATTGAATAATAAACAAACCTCGTGAATTTCTTCAATATCTAATCGTCTAAAATGTGTTTGTGGTCGATCATACAATGTGGAAATGGTTCCTCTAATATTAACGATATTAACGATATTAACAATAATTTATTAAAAAATATTAAATATTGTTGTGATTATTTGAAAGTATTATAAACAATAAAAAATAAATGGAAATTTTAAATATGAATAAAATACTTACCGAACTTCCCAATTATACATCAATTCTCGATGCATGGCTGCAGTGACTGTTAAATGTGCATGCGCTCGTCCTCCATATAATTTTTCATACCTGAAAATTATAAAAAAAAATTAAATATAAATAATCACAAATTTTAAATGTATGTGTATGTTTTAGAATTTAATATAAATATACGAACCATTTTGCAAATTTAACCATAAAATTATCTTGTCCTAATCGAAGTCCAAGAATAGTATATCCAAAATTATGCCAATCAATTATTAAATTTGTTTGTCGTAACCAACAAATAAATTGTACAATCATTAATATTGGTATTGATGGTGGATTCTAAAATAATATTTAATAATTAATCATTGTTATTATTAATTATTAATTATTATTATTATTATTATTTAATATTTTAATTATTATTATTTAATATTTTAATTATTATTATTTAATTAAATTTAATTTACCTGAACAAGAATGAAATCTGGACTATTTATTCTCATAATTAAATACCAATATAATTTTATTATTTGAATATATATTTTGATCGGAGCATATAAAATGAATAATAATTTAGAAGATCTATCCGAAATTCTCCATGGATGAGTTATATAATGGATTTTTATATTCGGATTAGATGAAATGGATTCAAGTGGTTTGGATCCTATAACAAAATATTAATAGACAAATATTTGATGACTGTTTAGATATCGATAAAAATATTAAATAATTAAATTAAAAATAATAATAAATTAAATTTTAAATAATAAAAATTAAATTAAAAATAATAATAATAATAAATTAAATTTATTAATTAAATTAAATTAAAAATAATAATAAATTAATTTAATTAATTATATCTAAATACCATCATATCCAATAAAATCAACTTTCCATCCATTCTGTGCGAAACTCAAAGCATGATATTGCATTCGAGGTGATCTTCCTATATCTCCCATTACAACAATTGTCACATTTTTTTTTATTGGTTGTTGAACTTTAAGTAAATTTTTTTGTATGTAAAGACTAAATCCTCGAACAAATACCACTAAACATATTAAAACGATTAATAATTTTGTTTCTGATATCGAAATAATTCCTTTTTCTTCGGTTATTTCTGTTATGTACATTTCATTATTATTCTTCTGAGAAATTGAGAAATAAAAAAAAATAAAAAAAAATTAATAATAAATAATTAATTGGTTAAATTAATTAATTGATGGATTATTATTTTTATTATTGACTCAGAAATGTTTCATTGCGTATATTTATTTAAATTTATTTAACTTTTTTTTTCCATCATAAGATTATCAGACTGGTGCCAACAAAATTACATCATTGTCTTTCATTGTAATAACATAATTTTAAATAAACTTTATTTTTTTTTTTACTTACCATCGTCTAATAACGACTTCGTTATTAATGTTATTAATGGGTATTTAAGAAAATTTCCCGCTGATCAATTATCTAACGTTGCTCAAGATTTTTATAATTTTTGGTTATTTGTGTGATTATGTAATAAAATTAACTGGCTAAAAATAAATCATTTTACAAGAAAATAATATTTCGACATTGCGAATTATTTCATTTTCTATTTTATCAGAGATGATTTTTGAAAACTCGAAGATTTCAATGATTACTACACACCAAGTTTTTTTTTTTTTAAGTAATCATATATATGTATTGTAACCTGTTTTGATTGGTTAATATTTTCTCATTTTCTTTGAAATTTGATCAAAAAAGGCAGTATTTTTTTTTGTTCAAACAAGGTAAATTTAAATATTTTTATTTTGGTATTTCCTTTTTATAATCTAATATTTTTGTTTATTATTAAAATTCTATTTTATACTTAAATTTCTAAGGGTATTGCTAAACCTGAATTTAGAACGTTATTATTAATTTATATGCCTCTAAACAGTATTTAAATATTTTTTTAAAAAAGCAACAAACGATTCGATATTTCAAAATTATTATATTTTAGATATTTCAAAATTATAATCAATCGCATGTAGCATTTATTTTTTTTTAAAAAACATTTACAGTTTATAATAACAATATAAAATATTTCCTATTAAAAAATAACATAATAAACTTTGTTTGTTTAAAATTAAGACCATTGAATAGGTGAAGATTATTTGAACGAAGATATATACTGTATATTTAATTATTTAATTATGCCTAATTTCCTCCTAAGATGTTTCAAGCACCAACGTAATACCTTTTTTCATCTTTGGTAGTATCAATTCCATAGAAATAACAATTCGCAAGACTATATTGTCCACCACTATTTCCCCCTTCAGCTGACTTTATATGCTTTCTCATCATCTTTTGTAGTTCCAATACCAAGGAGATAACAATAACCAAGTTTATTCTGTCCATCAGTATTTCCTTCTTCAGCTGATTTCAAGTACCTGTTAAATATTTTCTCTTCATTTTTCATTTCTTAATTCCATTGTCATTTCTAAGTTTTCCAAATGAAGTCTGTGCATAACTATTTCCTCCTTCAGCCGATTTCAAATGCCACTGAAATTCTTTCTCTTCATCTTTGGTAGTTCCCATTTTCGTAACAATAGCAAGATTAAATTGTCCGCCACTATTTCCCCATGAAGCCGATTTCAAATACCAATGAAATGCTTTCTCATCATCTTTTTGTTGTTCCAATCCCGTAGTAATAACATTCACCAAGAGTATTTTGCCCATCATTATTCCCACCTTCAGCTGATTTCAAGTACCACTGAAATGCTTTCTTTTCATCTTTGGTAGTTCCAATCCCATTTTTATAACAAATGCCAATATTTTTCTGTGCCGTATGATTTCCACCTTCAACTGATTTCATGTACCACTGAAATGTTTTTTCTTTATCTTTTGTTGTTCCAATCCCATTTTCATAACAATAACCAAGACCACATTGTCCATCACTATTTCCCATTCAGTTGATTTCATGTACTGAAATTTTTTCTTTTCATTGGTTACAATTTCATTTTCCATTTATGCGTAGATATTTTTGTTTCAGCCGTATAAAAGTTTTTGTTAAAATATTTAAAAAATTGGTTGTACCACAGTTTTGATTTGTAGAGAGTAATACGTACCTTGGAGTAGTTAGTTAAACACCGACTTGGCAACACATGTCTAGATATATAAAAATTTCTTTTATTTATTGCTAATCCTAAAATTCTTGACAAATACGCATATATAGTTTTTATTCTTGTATTGTTTTTCTTCTGAAAAATAAGATCAACTACTTTAATATTTTTAAATTAGAAAATTTGAATTTTTCAGTTAAAAATAAATAAAAAAAAAACCTGTAACTAATTATTTGATTTATAAATATTAATTTTTTTTTTGTATATTAATAGTCACAAAAAGATATAAAAATGAGAACATGGATTCATCTCTAGCAAAACAATTGAAGCACTACAAGAATTATTAAATGTTAGGCCAGATCTTAAAGGCAAAGAAATTTATTTTTTAGATAATATTTTAAAGGCATCATTATGTATAATAGAAAGAAAATAAAGCATATATATATATATATTGTACTAAAGTATTCAAGATTTTGACTCATTTTTTAAATGGATTAATTATTTAAAAACCCTCAAAGGAAAAAGATATTCTCTAGCAACTATTTTTGGAATCAAATCCAATTTGCCCACCGATTGCATCAAACCATATTGGAAAACAACTTCTTTAATAAATACTGTAAATATTCTTTAATTTATTCAACAAAAAATTTTACCTGGAGAAGAATTTTGCTGGAACAATTAATTTAATTATAGTTTCTTGATGATGTTAATTTAATTTAATTGTGATTTCTCGATGATGTAGTTATGATATAATTAAATATTTTTTTATTTATTATTAAAAATTATATTATAGAAAGAATAAAAAATATTTATAAACAACAAAGAAAATTACGCACTTCAAAAAACATTATGCTCGTTTAGAACAATTATCATTGTTTTCTCGCAATGTTTTTATAAACACCTTAATGAATAATATTATTATTGGGAACATTGAAATTCCATTAGAATCATATAGCAAAAATGTAGACAAGAAAACAAAAATTCTTTATCTCCGGGATGAATGTCAAAATCTTATAGAACCAATTTTATACCAAGACTCAATTTCGAAAATGGAATGTTAAAATTAAAAAGATGACTTGTGAAGTTATTCCTAAGAAGAAATGGTTAGAAACTTGGAGTTCTCATCTTGAAATTCATCTTAACAACTATAAATGTTCAGGTGATTAGTGCCACGATTTTCTTTCATCATTATAAAGACTTGTTGCATATTCACTTTTACAAAATGTTAACTTAACCACATATCTTTCTGCAGATTCTCATTAGTACTAATGTTTTGGAATCTTACATTACATGAAAAGATTGAGTAATTATTATTTTTGTTAATATTATTTTGTAAACATGAAAAATAATAATAGTAATCTCCA